GCTTCTTTGATGAGGCACTGACCATATTTATCTTTCTGGGTCTGGTATACCAAAGGCTGGACAGCCCAGAGACCTGGGATAGAAAAAAAATCAATAAAATTATTCCTAATGATATTCTGTTATATTCATAGATTGGTGCCTGGCCTAATCATCATCAGAGAGGCTTCCTTCCGTAGCTCACGGAAGCAGATACAGAAACCCACAGCCAAACATTAGATGGAGAGAGAGCCCAAATTGGAGATCTTCACAGGGTCTCTTCTCTTGGAGTTCAGGAATCCCATGGAAGAAGGTGAGGAAGAACTGTAGGAGCTAGAAGGGTCAAGGACACTAGGAGAACATGTCCCACAGAATCAACTAAGCAAGGCTCATAGGGGCTACAGACTTAAGTGGCAGTCAGGGATCCTGCATGGGTCTGCACTTGGTCCCCTGCAAATGTTGTGGTTGTTAGCTTGGTGTTTTTGTGGGACTCCTAATAGTGGGAGTGGGGGTTTCTCTGACTTTTTGCCTGCCCTTGGGACCCTTTTCCTCCAACTGGGTTGCCTTGCCCAGTCCTGATGTGAGGGTTTGTGCCTAGGTTTGTTATAGCGTGGTACACTTTATTCAGTTGATATCCCCAGGAGGCATGCTGTTTTCTGAAGGGAAACTGATGGGGACTAGATCTGGGGGAGAGGGTAGGTGGGGCGGGGAACTAGAGGAGTGGAGGAAACTTGTCAGGATGTAGTGTATGAAAGAATAAAAAAACGCATACAGATCTAAACAGAGAATTCTCCATAGAAACTCAAATGGCTGAGAAACATTTAAAGAAATGTTCAACATCCTTTGCTTTCAGGGAAATGGAAATCAAAACTACATTGAGATTCCATCATACACCTGTCAGAATAGCTATGATCAATAACTCAAGTGATACATTATTCTGGCGAGGATGTGGAATAATGGGAACGCTACTCCATTGCTGGTGGGAGTGCAAACTTGTACAATCACTATGGGAATCAATATAGTGGTTCCTCAAAAAGTTCTGTATCGATCTACCTCAAGACCCAGCTACAAACACAAGGGAGATCTTGCAGTGCATGGAGAAGTAAAGAAACTCAATAGTGGCAGCTTTCTGAGACAGGAAACGTTCTAAGAAACACAGAAAGAGGTGGCTACAGGACAGGTTTATCTTTCACCACCAAGTAGGTAGAGAGACACGTTAGGTACTGAGGATGGGATGTTCAAGGATTTGGGGGCAGGACCTTCAGATCGATTCTTTCTGTGGTTTTATTTTCTCTGTGCAGTAGCAGAGACAGGAGTGATGCCATGTGTGAAGAGTGAATGGGGTTGGAGAAACAGCTCAGCATTAAGAGTGTACACTGCTCTTGCAGAGAACTAGACTTTGGCTCCCAGCACATGTGTTGGGTAACTCACAACCACCTGTAATTCCAGGTCCTCAGAGACCAAGTGCCTCTGACCTCCATTAGCTCCTGCACTCACAGGCACGTATCCTCTGTAATGATCTATAACAGATGATTGCATCCACATTGGACTGGAGAGAACAATGATTCCAGTACCATGAGAAGCAGCTTTCAATGCCAACAAATGAAGAGGAAGTGCCAGAGGCTATGAGAATTGAGTTCTTGTCCACACTCATTTCCATTGATCACCTCCACTCTTAAGGTTTGACTGAAATGTCTTCTACAGGCTCATGTGCTTTAATGTGTGGTCCCTAGACAGTAGATCTATTTTGGAAGGCTGTGAATTTTTTAGTAGGTAGAAACTCATTGGAGGAAGTAAGTCACTGATGGGTAGGCCTTAAAGTTTATAGCCTGGTTCTGCTTGCTGTCCAATCCCTGCTTCCTGGTTTGCCCACAGGTGAGCAAGAAGCCTGGTGCCCCTGCCGTCAGAGTTAAAGTCACTGTAGACCTTTCCTGCCAGGATGGACTGTATCTTCTCAAACTGTAAGCTAAAATAAATCTCTTTTCCCTTAAGTTACTTCCTACAATCTTTACAAATGTAATTTTTCATAATATGGTCATTTTACCTTTATATTTTGATGTAAAATGATATAAAATGTGACCTTATATTTTATATCATTTGTTTTCAGGGGTAACAGTCTTCTGAGATGAAATTCAAATGCTGTGTAATGTATCTATTTAAAGTTCAAGAGTTTGTAGCAGTCACAAGTACTTATCACTAAGTTCATTTAGAACATGTTAATCATTTCACTCCTGAACCTAGCTGGGTAGTAGAAACTACTCCATCTCTCCCCAACCCCCAAGTCCTAAGTAACAAGCTACCCTTGTTCTGGCTCTGGAGATCGTTCAGCTCAGAGCTGCTTTGCTGCATGGATGATGTGTCTGTTGACTAAATATTTACAACTAGGAACACAACACATTCTTTTTGTCCTTCTGACAAGTTAGTTTATCCTTCCTTTCACAAGCTTGGGAATGTCTCAGTGATTCCCTGGAAATTTGTTTCAGTGGGCTTAGCATATGTCAAAAGCATAAGAAAAACTTAGCCTTCACTCATTGGCATTGAAAATTGCTTCTCATGGTACTGGAATCACTGTTCTCTTCAGTCCAGCGTGGCCTGCCATCAGCTGCTATTGATCATTAATTGTGCTGCACACCTCAGTTACATTGATGTTTCCATGGCTGCCTCTTGGATGTTCCAGCTGAGACTAACTGCATCCTTATTTGCACAGGTATATGAGTAGGATGAAAGTTGGCATGACCTTCAGAGTCTGAAAAGGGCAGAAAGAAGACAAATAAAGGCAGCAGGCTCCGGGGAGGACCATATCCCATCCACATGGGGGTTTGTTTCCTCATGGCTGAAAGTGAGCTCCCTGCTTAAGATACAGAAAGAGGGACGGAGAGATGGCTCCACTGTTAAAGGCTAGGCTCACAACCCAAAATGTAGGATAGAGAAAGGATCTTCTGCAGGAGGTTTCTGGAGATGACTAATGAAGTATCAGAATCTTGGCAAGTGACACCGTTAGAGCCCTGACGGGAGAGAAGATTGGTGTTTGGGGAAAAATGATCAACAGCTTCAAAACGAACTTGTCCTCTTGCAATTGATCAACATTCTCATCAGAATGAGAAGCGCTGTAGCTCTCATTTCTGTGTTCTCTTCACATATCATTTATTAAAAACAAAACTAGCTTTAGAGGTTTTTTAAGGTAGCTTCTATCTATCAGCCACTCTATTTATCTCCTTACTCCTACATCCCTTTTCTTTGATTTAGTGCACATATCTCCATAGTGCAAACACAGCTGAATATAAATATAAGTTTATATTCTCCCTTTTATATATGAAAGGTCAGTGTGCTGGGTTTCTGTTGTTGTTATTGTTGTTGTTTTTCAACTTAACATGGACTGAGTTATTTGGGAAGAGGGAACCTCAGTTAAGAAATTGTCTCTCTGTGGACTGGAGAGATGACTCAGTGGTTAAGAGCGCTGGCTGCTCTTCCTGGAGGACCTGGGTTCAATTTCCAGCACCCATATGGCAGCTGACAACTGTCTGTAACTCCAGTTCCAAGGGATCTGACATGCTTACACAGACACACATATAGGAAAAAACAGTAATGCACATAAAATAAAAGTTAAATAAATTATTTTTAAAAAGAAAAATAAAAAAAAGAAATTGTCTCTAACAGATTGGCTTGTAGGCAAGACTGTGAGGGCATTTTCTTTATTAATGACTGACAGGGGAGAGTCCAGCCCACTGGGAGTAGTGCCTCCCCTGAGCAGGTGGTCCTGGGTTGTATAAGAAAGCAGGCTGAGCAAGCCATGGGGAGCAAGCCAGTAAGTAATATTCCTTCACGGTTTCTGCCTCGGTTTCTGATTCCAGGTTCCTGCCTTGAGTCCTTGCCCTGACTTATCTCAATAATGGACTGTGACAAGGAAGTAAAAGATGAAATAAACTTTTCCTCCCCGAGTTGCATTTCGGTCACCGTTTTTGATCACAGTAACAAAAAGCAAACTAGGCCAGAGGGATTTACCTGCTCTGTACTTGTTGTTAATTCTAAGTCAGCAAGAAGAGAGGTTCGCTTTCCTTCCTGGATGGCGGAGGATTCCATCAAATCTTTGTGCAAGTGTTTCAAAAACATTGAACCTGTTTCTGTCTGTTGAGCGTTTGAGTCGTTTCTAGTCCTTGGACATTACAACTGTAGAGTTACAGTGAGTCATTGGCTGTATGTATGGCTTATGTCCTACATATGCCAGGCTAGCTGTGCTACAAATTCTCAGAACTGAAAACCGCTGAATGAAGTGGGAAGTACATTTGATTACGTCACTTTTTCTTTCAAAGAGTGTGGAGTGTCTCAAGTGCCACTCCCTTCCAGGGGCATTTCTAAGGTAGAGTGGCTGATGGACTCTGACCCCTCAAGCAACAGAGACATATCACCAGTTCAAAACTTAAGAATAATAATTGATCCTATGACTGGGAATGTAACTCAGTGACAGAGCACTAGCTTAGCTTCTCAATGCCTTGGATTTTATTCCTCACACTGCAAGTTAAAAAAAAAAAAGATAGAAATTCAATTAAAAAATACAGCAAAATTGGTGGGCTCCATATTGACACCCTGACCTAGAAATTCTACAGTCAGTGATGAAAACTCTCTTCCTTCTCCAGATCTTTGAGCATTCAGTTGCGATGGTTAATCTTGATTATCAAGTTGGAGGGACTGAGAATCATCCAGAAGGCAACCCTTAGGGCATGCCTTTGAGGGTATTTCTAGATGAATTTAACTGGGAAGGGAAGACCCACTTGGAGCAGGGTGGTACCTTTCCATGGACTGGATTCTGGGACTGAATGAAAAGGAAAGGAGGAGGAGGAGGAGGAGGAGGAGGAGGAGGAGGAGGAGGAGGAGGAGGAGGAAGCCAGTTATGCAGAGCATTTCTCTCTCTCTCGGCTTCTCAACTGCAGACACAATGCGACCAGTCAGCTCATGCTCAGGCTGCTACAGCTGAGAGCTGTCCTTGTCGCCTTGCTTTCCCTATGGAAACAGATTGTACTCTCAAACAGTAAGCCACAAAATGAAACTGAAACCAATCCAGTGCTTTCCTGAGGTTGCTTTTTTCAGGCGTTTACAGCAACCAGACAAGTAGCTGAGACAGCATGTAGATTGAGAGTCATGGGGCTGGTGCTGTGATAAACCTCACCGTGTAGTTCCTAGGCCCTTAGAACTGGTTTCCCAGGTGAGTGTGGAAGAGTTTGGGGCAACGGTCTGGAGAAGTCTCAGAACGCTGTAAGCGGAGCTCAATAGGCCTCTGCTGGGAGTTTAGAAGACCAAATGCCAAAGGAAATGTGAACAGTCAAGGCTCGGCTTGTGACATTTCAGACTGGGAACACAGACTCTATGGGAACTGGGCTAGTGGACGTTTGTGTTATGCTGTGACAAAGAATCTGCCTTCATCCTGCTCATGTCCCCAGGCTCAATTCAAAGGTAATGGAGTAATTTGTTCAGGGGGGGGGAAATCCCAAGGGAGGATAGCACTCAGGCTGTGATAGGGTTACTGCTTGCTGATCTCACCCAGATCTACAGTGAAGAGAGATAGCAGGAAGTACAGCAGAAAGATATGAAAAATGGACAAATTGTCCAGGAAAGACGTTTAAAGTTTCAGATTGGGTTGGTGAGACATTTAAAGTTTCAGATTGGGTTGGTGTGGACAAAGTGGCTGTAATTGTTAAAAAGATTAGCATCATTATAAAGAGATCTCCTGTGCTATACTGGGACAATAGGAAAGGTACTCTGGGGACAAGACACCCATCCCCACCTCCCCACCACCACCCCTGCCCATCCATCAAAATCTCTAGCCTGTAAAAATGCAAATTTATTTGAAAAGAGAGAGCTTGAACTGAGAATGCCACTGAGGAGGTTATAAATAACTGCTTGAAAATAACTGATTAGGGAAGCCTTTTTTACACATTCAACTACCACAATGCACAGATGCCATTATGGCTATACCGGAATGGAACCAAACACATCTCAAGCTGGCAGTAAAACTTGACAGTGTCATTCACATACTGCTGCTTTTAGGGACATGCAAAAGAGTTGTGGGGTCCTGGAGACTTGCACCAAGATTTCTTAAAGCCTTAAAGACTGGCCAATATGCAGCAGTGCTTTATTTCCTGCAAGGAAGCCCCAGGAGGCCACTGCATGAAGCTATGAAGGTAAATCCTAGGCTGCAATGGAAACCCAAAAACATTGGAGATACTGGGTCTAGGGGACATCTGCCAAGGTAAACTGATGTCATAGAAAGGAGTCAGCCTAACACAGAGGGTATGCCCACTACAGATGGCACAGATGGAGGGGTAGAACTTCTCAAGGCTGTTGGAGCTCAAATGATTGTATCATGGATTCCAGATGCCCAACAGGGAGAATTTGCTTTCTCTGCTGGCTTTGGTTTTGGTCTAGTATTTCCTTGCTCTAGTCCCATCTCTTTCTTTTGTAATGGGTATGTTTACTCTGTGACACTGTATGTTGGACGCTTACAACTTGTACTTTTTATTTTACACAGGTCTACAGTCAAGAGTGATAGGAATTCCAACCATGCCCCCATGGTTGCGCATGCCCAGCGGGACACTTAGTCATTTCCGCCTAGTCATTTCCGGGTCATACGTCCTGTGTGACCCATGACCCCATGGCTGCGTGGTTGTGCAAAGCACGTGGCACAACCATGTGATCTATGCACATGCATGGAATAGCCACATGGGCCTGTGTGCACAGGTGTGGCTTGGCCTTTGAAAGCCGGCTCCTATGTTCCCTCTCCCCCTTCACACATGTGTCCTTTCATCAGGCCTGATCATGTCTATCCTTTTCTCTTTGTCTTAATAAAACTCTTGTTAGTGGAGTCTGTCATGTTTCATGACTTTTCCTCGCAGGGTAAGAGCGCTGCTAAAAGCCATCAAAGAAATTGCCTGAGTCTTGGAAGAGACCTTGCCCTTACGCTTTTGAACACTTTTAGAACTGTGAAGACTTTTGATCTTTAGCAGATGGACCAAACACATTTTGCATTATGAGGTGAACATGAGACTTTGGGGGATCAGGTGCAGATGTTATGAAGTAACGTTGATGTTTTATGGGTCGAGTTGGAGTGGTTGATCTTGGTTGTATACTTGACAGGATTTAGGATCGGCTGAGAAACAAGCCCCTGGGCATATCTGTGGGGTGTTACCAGAGAGGTTTTACTAAGATGGGAAGACCAGCCTGCCTGTGGGTGGCACATTCCATGGATTGAGATCTCAGACTAAGCAAAAAGGAGAAAGTGAACTGAGCACCAGTAGTCATCTCTGCTGCTGGAGTCTGGACACAATGGGAGGAGTCACATAACCTGACTGCAGCCACAGCTAGATCTTTTCTTGTGCCCCCCCGACACACACACACACACACACACACACACACACACACACACACACACACACTATGACCAATTCTTCCCCCAAACCATGGTCCAAAGCAAGCCCTTCCTTCCTAAAGTTGATTTGTCACAGCAGTGAGAAAGTAATTACTAATGTATCTGTAGACTGTGTTCTTGCTACAGTTGATGTGGGTTATACCGTTAGACATGTGTACATTGCTTTCTGTCTATGTGGAGGTTAACTTAGTGACCTCATGGTTATAAGGTGTCTGCTCCAGATATGGCTGCATTTTCATTGGGAGAAAGACAAGCAAGCTCCTATAAATGAGAGCTTCTGGGTACTTGTCTTTTCTCCCAATGAAAATGTAGCCATATCTGGAGAAGACACCTCTGCAGGTGGCTTATGTCTCTATGACTACTATGTGCTACCCATGTCTGCATTTAACAGGATGAATGGGGGCCAGATGGCACTGACACACACCTTTAATCCCAGCACTCAGGAGGCAGAGCCAGGCAGATCTCTGTGAGTTCGGGGCCAGCCTGGTCTACAGAGCAAGATCCAGGACAGGCACCAAAACTACACAGAGAAATCTTGTCTCAAACCAAACCAAACCAAACAAAACAAATGGACTTAAAAGAAATTAGCATAGAAAAATGATTGAAAAGAGGAATGGGACTTGAGTTTCTTTATTATGCTCTTCATTGTGGTAATTGAACTGTCACTTTCAAAGCTTAACATTCTGCAAAAGATAAGGTTTAACAAAACCTTCAGGGGTACTGTTCAGTCCTTTGATGACTGTTACGTAGGTGTGTCACTGAAAGGAAAATGGCGCTGGTGGCTGGTGCTGGTTACCTTTGGAAAGGTCACGATCATGACAGAACCCAGTGGTACCTTTTAGAGCTTTATTAGCAGGGAAAGGGGTTGGGGGTGGGGGGAGAGAGAGCCAGGCCTGGCGGAGAAGAAACACAGAAAGAGAGGTGCAGAGAGAGATGCAGAGAGAGACACAGATAGAGAGCGTGGGGTGCCCGTCCAGCTTTTAGGCTGGGACACAGTTGCCTGATGATGATGTAATAAGGCACCAGACAAGACCCCGAGCTGCACAAATACAGAATCCTTACATTCCAGACTTTTGCTCATTATAAAAAAAAAGCAAGTAAATAGGAATAGGGGTGTAGTTTCTCCTGGAAAAACTGCTTCTAGCTGGCTTGGAGGGCGTTGGTTGGCTCTTGGGGGGAATAGGGAAGGGGGTCTTCCGAGGTAGACAGGCATTGTGGGATGATGTGCTATCTGTCGTCTGTTACTCTGGAGCTGTGCATCCCTCTTGATGATTAATGAGGTAGGTCAACTTCAAAAGCAGGAAAAAAAATAACTCATTTACTTTCGGATCACAATTGTAGACTTTTTTTAAATTACATTTTTAATAAAATAATTCATACAGTGTAACTCATAATAAAAGTTCATAATAACCCAGGGATGATGGCTTATATCTGTAATCCCAGTACTTAGGACACTGAGGCAGGAGGATTACCATGAGTTGGAGGTCATCTTGGACTTCAGAGTGAGCTATCTCAAAAACAAAAATAAAAACGAAATTCATAGCATATATTGAGGAGCAGGTATTGAAGGTGACCTGCTCTGGAGGTCAGACTATGCTTTGGACTTATTCTTCCTCAGCAGGGCATCAGAGTCCCACCACTAACTTTGTCATTGTACTGGCCTGCCAATCTAGATGGGCAATAAAAGGTAACACTGCCGTTTTCTTCTCTTTCCCTTGTAATGGGGGAGGGGAACCCTTTGCCACCGCATGCACAAGGCCCCTTTCATTTCCTCTAGTTTTCTGATCCTGCGTTGGGGGTGCTATGGTTCCTGCAGTGTATCCTCCTTGCTTTCTTCTGGGCAGACTTCACTTGACTCACCCCCACAGAGAGCATCCAGAGTGCTGCAATGTTCTCCCTAGCCGTAGGACTGATGGCTGCCTCAAGACCAAGGTCATCTGCTTCCTGGTCTGGACATTCTGCTTGCATTAATAGAATGTCAGTATTCATTTTCAGCACTTTGTCAACTCTTTGGCTGACGATGCATTTAGAGTCAACCTAACTCTCAATTTCTTTGAATCACACCCTTGACTAAGATATCTGCATTTCTCGATCAAGCCAATTAGCTTTTGAACCCACTTAGAAGTGTGTTACCTCATGGGTGCATTTGTCCTTAGATTTATGCTGTTGGTCCAGCTTGTTGAGGTTATTTTGTCTTTTGCTTCTGGCACCTGTGATGCCTCTAAGGCTGTCAGCATCACATTAAAAGCAAATCTGGAAAATCGTAATGATCCATCCTCATTCTGATCACTGAAAAAGACTCCCAGGTTCTGAAGGCCGATGCCAGAGCACTGGGGCCAATTAGGATGTATTTCTACAAGTGAGCATGCCATAGAAATGACCACTGCATGCTTTCTGATGTTTATCATTATTCAGGAAGAGCTATGTGCTCATTACAGAAAATCACAAAATACAGAAAAACATGAATGTAAAATCCAGCTTCCAAAAAGTTAACACTATAGCATCATCATATGAAGTATCTATCATCTCTCTCTCCATATATGTATATATATGAATGCATAAACATATAAGTAAAACCTGCTGAGTCTATTTAATAGGCCTTGTGTATATATGGTTTCAAGGCTGTCTACTTTGTATTTGGTAACCAATTGGGGGCCATCCCTGGGAGAGGCCAGTTCTACCTCTCTCAGCAGTCCTTAGTTGCCTGTAGTTCTTTGTTTAGGCATGGGACCCTATAAGACTTCCCTCTTCCACATTAGCTTGTCTGTTGATATTATCATTATTAACATAGTCTTGTTTAGGTAGTCATAATTTTGAAGTATCTTGGATGTAGCTTCCCAATCATTTCTAGAAGACACAGTCCCACAGCAAACTCCCTGGTTCTCTCGCTCTTACAATCTTTCTGGCCCCTCTTCAGAGATGTTCCTTGAGCCTTAGGTAGAGAAGTTGTGTTGTAGATACATTCTTTGGGGTGGGCACCACATGACCCATTGATTTCTACACAGTGATCTGTTGTGGTTTTCTGAAATGGACTCTGTTTGCTGTAAAGAGGAACTTCTTAGATGAGGAGTGAGAGCTACACTTGTCTGTGTGTATAAGGATGAGTTTTAGAATGCGGTTAAGAATTATGCCTGTCTTGGTTAGGGTTTCTCTTGCTATGAAGAGACATCATGAGCACAGCAACTCTTGTAAGGAAAACATTTAATTGGGACTGGCTTACAGTTCAGAGGTTAGTCCATTGTTATCATGGTGGGGAGCATGGTAGCATGAAGGCAGACATAGTGCCAGAGAGGTAGCTGAGAGCTCTACATCTGGATTTGCAGGCATCAGGAAGAGCAAGTGAACCACTGGGTCTGGCTTGAGCTTCTGAAACCTCAAAGCTCACCCCAGTGACACACTTTCTACTTATTGAAGTGGGCTACACCTACTTCAATAAGGCCACACCTCCTAATAGTGCCACTTCCTATGAGCCTAAGGGGGCTATTTTCATTGAAATTACTACAATGACTGTCTAGTAAAGTGACCATAGTAGATAGAATATCTTCTAAGATCTATGAACTCGTTAGCCTTGTATAGTTGGTTAAGTTTCTAGTACCAGACATGATTTCCCTCCTATTGAGTAGAGGGGGCAAGGAGAGGACAAATAACATCAAGGATGTTTGATAAAGCTCCAAGGAATTGTATTATTTTATAGTTATCTAAAGTTACACACAATATGTGTGTGTGTGTGTGTGTGTGTGTGTGTGTGTTAAATGAAGTCATGCCACTTAGAATGGCAATGTTCCCCACAAGAGCCATATACCATCTAACAAAACAACCCCAGTACCAGACACGAGAACCCTCCTTTTAAGTTGTTGGTCAGCAGAGTCCGAGTGACTACCAAAGCAATATAGGCTATAGCTGCTGTCCCCAGTTGCCTCTCAGAGGTTGAAAGTAAATTCCTATTTCTGAAAATACCACACCCTTTGGACACCTGGATCTGGACATCTGGACATCACACACTCTGAAGATTCAAGCTGGATCTAACCTGAAGCCTCTTTCCTGGGGTTTAGATTTCATAATAGCAGAAAGTACTAAGAAAAAAAAAGTGCCAAGGAATGGAAGCAATAGTTCTATCCAGCTCTAATGACAATGAACTATAACAATGACCAACAGAGCAAGATGTCTCTAAAGTTACAATAGTGGCACTCATACCTTGGCAGTAACCAACAGCTAACAAAGTATCTTATTTCTATTGATTACATATATGGTGATTAGTACCACTTCAGAGTATATTAGAGAAAACGTTGCAGTAAATATGAACTTGGGTGGCCTTTTACTTTTTTAATGTGATTGAAGAAAAAAATAAAATTACAAATATGGCTCCCATGAAATCTCAGTGACAGCACTACTACATGTTCTCCATGTATGAGATCTCCATGGTTTGACGATGCCTG